AACACGCACATGCGTTGGCGATGCTAAGGGTGCGGCGCCGCACGCAGTAAAGCATTCCGTAAGAAACAAACAACTCTGATAAATTGACTGAAATAATAAAAGCACCTGAATTCTTGCAAAAGTAAGGGTAACCTTTCAAAATGATGTGTTGATATGTACGGCCACGTGCGCCTAAATAAATAGGAAGGCAAGCATTGGTAGTAGGCAAATACACAACATCGTGCGGCATAAAGACGTGGTGGCGGTGGTGTGCTAATGCCCCCAGGTGTATGCAGTATGTAGGTGTGGTCGTAACAGCATTTCGTTGTAACTTGGGACGGAAAACATTTATACATGCCGCTCTTTTATATTCTTAATTTGGCGTTTTTTACGAGAGAGTTTGGCAAACGTCAACTAATAACATTAAAGTCGCAGCTGCAGCATGTTTCTAAAAATGGCAGCACACGCATTCCAATTCACTCCATCACAAAAGCATGACACCCAGCACCTCACCTGGGTATCAGCTGCTCATCCACTTAAAATATGCATGTAGAAGTTAAATTATTTACATAAATGTTTTTTATACACCAAGTTAAAAGCTGCCGCTACATGTCGATATATACATAGATGTGTACGTATTGTGTAGCAGAAGATGCTAACCTTCATAATTGACCTGACCGTCACCATCGATATCAGCCTCCCGGATCATTTCATCCACTTCCTCATCTGTTAACTTTTCACCCAAGTTTGTCATGACGTGACGTAATTCAGCCGCTGAAATGAAGCCGTTGCCATCCTTATCAAATACTCTAAAGGCTTCTCGGATCTCTTCTTCACTATCGGTATCCTTCATTTTGCGTGCCATCATTGTCAAGAACTCGGGGAAGTCAATGGTGCCATTGCCTAAATTAAGCGAAGGAAGAGAAAATCAAATTTTTGTTTAGTGTTAATAAACAGGAATTATTGTATTTCTGCAATATTCGGGATATTTCCATCAACTGGGGAAAGCCTCAAAGTCTCGAAAGTAACAAAGTTATCGACGTTGACATGAGAAGACCTTTTATATTTTATTTTAATTTATCTTTTAGTTTAAAATCAAGTTTTATTTAATTGAATTTTGTTCATTTACTTTATCAGTTTTTAAGTTTATTTATTTATTTTTCTATATTTTTATTTTATTGGGATTTAATTTTCATTTCAATTGAGTTTTAATTTTTATTTGAATTTAATTTTTTGATTTTCATTTTAAAATTTAATTTTATTTAATTTAAATTTTATTTAAATTCACAATTTATTTAATTTTAATTTTACTTGAATTTTAATTTTATTTAAATTTAATTTCTATGTTAATATTATCTTTATTTTGTTTCGATTGCTTTATATTTTGTTTTTATCGTTTTAAATTGTCTCTATTGTTTTACATTTTGTTTCTATTGTTTTAAATTATGTTCCTATTGTTTTATATTCTGTTTCTATAGTTTTTTATTTTGCTTCTATTAATTAATTTTCACTGCTTTTGTTTTATATTTTGTTTCTATTGTTTTATATTTTGTATCCATTGTTTTCTATTTATTACATAGCTATATATTTTTTTGTTTCTATGGTTTTATATTTTGTTTCTAATGTTTTGTATTTCGTTTGCGTTGTTTTAAATTTAGTTTCTATTTTCTTTTTGTTGTTTTATGTATATTTTTTTATTCTACTTTAATCTAATTTTTTTTAATTTTTATTTTAGTTTTTACAAACAAAAATTTTATAACCGGTAAATAAAGTTTCCATTTAAATTTTTAAAATTTTCGATATAAAAAGTTTTGGTATGGTTCCACAAAGACCTGGTAATGTAAATTTAACTAGTCAACTAAGTTTCTCCCGCACTTACGTTTAATCGCGTGTTTGTCTTTCGAAAGTTTATTTCCAATAGACTACCCAAAAAGTCAATACCAATCAATTCAATTGGAATCGCTTGAAATCGCAGTGCGAAAGCACGCGGCTAATGCAAATATTTAACCCAAATATTATTTATTACTATTTTTTGCAATAATTGGCCGTAACTAAAATATTTATTATTTTATTTCCAACCAC